TCTACAGTTAACCACGTACAAAATTGTTCACCAGGCAATTGTTTAACTTTTGTGTTTCTCCAGATGAAAATTGTAGGGTATCAAACAGGGAGCAATTGTAGGAAGTAGCTACTCTCCTACGGCTTGAAAAACAAAAGGAAGATGTTGGAACTATTGGCAGAAAACACCTACCTCTGAGGATGGGGTCCTGGTGTGGCTGTTTGGCTGATGCACAATGAGTGCTTTCTGTAAATGCTGGAAAAACTGCACAGTGGATTCAGCTGCTGCTCCAGAGAGGAGCTGCTGCTGCTGGGGAGAGGAGGCATTGCTAGGGTGAAAGTCTTCAGAACTGCAGTGTGAAAGCGACCTACAGGAAGCAAATAAGAAGGCACGTGCCTCTTCGTCCTCCAGCTTTGCGGTCTCCCAGCTCTCTGTCCTCTTGGCAGAAGTGTGGCTTCAGGTCCTAGCCCTAGTACTGCAAAGCAGAGGGGAGAAGGGAGAGGAGCTGGAGTTGGGAGAAAGAGCTTAATAGTTGGCCCACTTGGGTCTCCTTCAGATCCCTTCATTTTTTCCTCTTCTCTTTCCTTGATGCTATCTTCTCTTCATTTCTTCTTTCTTTCTTTTTTTTATTCATCTTTTCTCCTTTCCTTCCTCCCTCCCTTCCTTTCTTCCTTCTTTGATGTCAATCTTTAGGCTTGAAAAGACATCTTAACAAATAAGTAGGCTATTACCTTTCACATAATAAAAAGATACAGAAAATTATAAATAAGTTCAGAGAATATACATGATCATTTTTTTTTTAATGTATGGTCCAGCCATTTTACACAAGCTTGTTCATTTTATCAAAATCTCACAATGGCAGGACTGGAAAATGGCAGACCTAAGATCGGAACCCAGCTTTTTCACTCCAATTGTCATGTTTATTTTGCCCCCTACCTTGCAGATCCCAATTCATTTTGATAACTGTGAATGGATAATTCAGTCACTGTCATTTGAACTAGGTAGACCTCAAAGGAAAGTGAAAATGTAGATGGAAAATGTGCATAATCATAAACACTACAGATATGTAAGAAAGCTTGGGATAAGGCAAGAATTGTTCCATAAAACTATCTAATACAGTTGATAAAATAATTCCAGTATTAATGAAAATAATTATTTTGGGGAATGTTTTTCTCATCTTTCTTACAATAAATACTGAGAATTTTAAAGAAGAAACATGAAAGATAACATCTCTTATATCCCCCAATATATTTTGGAAGTTAATTAGCTGTACTTGGTAATTAAAAAAAAATAAGGTAGCTTTCTTAGAATGTTGAGTTGTTCATTAACTTGTGGGTTGATTCCAGTTTCAGAAGCCCATCTTATTATCTAGTTGGAGAGAATTAATATCAACTAGTGTATTCCCTGGTAAAGAGAGAACATGCATTCAGAATTATTAAAATAAAAACACAACTGCATACTGCAATCACAAGAGATGAAAAACCAATTATTTTACTTTTTTGTAACTGCATTTGAAAGTTTCAGAAAACATATGTATTAGAAAAGTTTACTCTGCCTTTCACTAAATCACCTAAAAGACAAAAAAAGCACAAATATCAAAAATGATTAAAATAATACTTTATGATAATAGACAATTTACAGCCATATTTATAACTATACAAGCATCCTCAAATGAGAGTTGAAATATCAAAATATCAAAAAATTCTTGTTTAATTTTACATTTATTTGTCACTATGGTATCATAAACTTCAATTGGACCACTTTTTGGTTTTAGGGACTAGAAGAGGTCAAGGAGACTATAGGTCCAAAATCAAAGGCACAGGTAAGCCTGCCAAAGTGGAGGGAGAGAGAGAGAGTTTGAGAGAAGAGAGAGAAAGAGGAAAATCACCTTGATTATTCTGGATATAAGAAGGGGTTAGCAGAGAAAGGGATCATCATGAAAGTTTAGTCCCTTAATCTAATTTTTACATGTTAAATATCGATTCCATATCTATATCTTCTTGTTAAGAGTTCCTAATTAATACTGGATTTGAACAATGAGAATTTAGTTTTCTTGATTTAACCAGCTCAATAGCTAATGGAAATTATGGTCACATTTCTAATAAAGAGAAATAAATTCAAACTGTATTAAGGATTACAGGTAATTACCACTGCAAAATAAGGTTCTAATGGGCTACTCAGGGATTGATTTAGACATTCTCTTTCTTTCTGAATATACAATTTATCTGTAGGTACATAAGAACTTCAAATTTTTAAAAATTTTATGAATATTCTATTGTTATTCAATGATCATAGACCACTGATTGAACAACTGAAACTGGCTGCAGTGAGTCTGTGAGACAAGGGAGGAGGAGAGTAAGGAAGAATCAAATGGAATGCACTGAAAACTGTTTTATCTCTGGCACCAAGTCACTGACTCCAAATCAAATCCAAAAGAAAGACTTCTTCCTAACCAGCGGCTCCAG